GTGATGATGATGACGATGTTTTTGATTTCTGAAGAAATAAATGGGTAAATCAAAATGATTGAGTTCTTAGTACTTCCATGTAGTGCATGTGGTTTGCACTTGGACTTCCTTTTCTTTTTTTGAACTAGTTTTGAAATTTTATAATGTTTTTAGTAGGATATGATTAAAAAGTAGTTTTCAGAAATATTTCTAACTAGAATTTCCATAGCAAATGTAAGTGAAATGCTATGTTCAGATTCTTTATTGGCTATCAATTTAATTTGAAATTAAAATATTTTATCTTTCAAGTTAAGTATGGAGAAATAAAAAAAGGAAAAAGCTCTGGTACCGTTGATTCATTCCAAAGAAGCTGTATACAGAGTATTAAAACTTTTTTTTTAATATTTACTTATTTATTATGTATACAATATTCTGTCTGTGTGTATGTCTGCAGGCCAGAAGAGGACACCAGACCTCATTACAGATGGTTGTGAGCCACCATGTGGTTGCTGGGAATTGAACTCAGGACCTTTGGAAGAGCAGGCAGTGCTCTTAACCACTGAGCCATCTCTCCAGTCAGAGTATTAAAACTTAACAGTGTTTTCAGTCTCAGACTAGTTTGTGAACATAGCATTCTTTCTCCTTCATTCTTTCTCCTTCCTTCTCCTTTCTTCTTTCTAACTTACAAGAATTAAAACCATAAAAACTATAAATCGGATAAATTCAGTGATGTATCTTTCTGATTTTTCTTTGCAATACAATGAAATGTTTGCAAGAATTTAATACTACCCTTGCTAAAATAAGAATATGAGTGACATGCTGTGAACAATTCTGTGCTTTTAAGAAATGTAAAGCCAGACATTTTGGCACACTTGTAATCCCAGCACTTGAGCAGTGGGGAGCCAAGAAATGGCAAATTCAAGGTTATCTTCGAGCTACATAGTGAATTTGAGGCTAGTCTAGGTTGCATGAGACCTTGTCATTGCAATATGCGAGGCCACAGTTCACACTCAACAGGCTGAGACAAGGCTTGTGAGGTCCATACCAGTGCAAGTGAGACCTTGCCTCAGAGGATGGAAAAGTGTTCAGAATGGTTTCCTTAATTAATAACAAGACTGAATGAAAGTTAAACCTCATGACTTTAAATCTTCAAGTAGGCAACTATTTGTCTTAACTGAGCATGTTGTGATGGCATGTACTTAGATCATGTGATACTATGATGTGACCTCTGTATATAGGCTGTGACTGTCTTTATACACACACACTACAGTGTATTTGTTCCCCTTTTAGCGTTGTTTTGTTTTGTGGCAGGGGAGAGTGGAACCCAGGGCCTTGGGCTTGCTAGACAAGTGTTCTACCCCTGAGCTATACTCTAGAGGCTAGAGTCTAGCCCTTTATTCCTATTTTATAGATATGGAAAATGTGACTTGAGGTCCTGTAACTAACTATGTAAAGCCTGTCCAGAAATCCTGCTTTTTTGGCTATATAAGGCAGCTAGTAGATCAGTGCTCAAATAAGATCCTTGTAGTATAGTGGTTCTCATGCTGTGGTGACCCCCCGACCATAAAATTATTTTTGTAGCTACTTGATAATTGCAATTTTGCTACTGTTATGAATTGTAAATATTTTTGGAGGTAGAGGTTTGCCAAAGTGGTCATTATTCACAGGTTGAGAACCACTGCTTTAGCACAGTGTTTTAACCCTAATATAACTGATTAACTGCATTAAATGTTTATGGCCGATATGGGTCTTAGAAAGTCCATTTATTTAGAAAGAATGTAATTGCATGTAATTACCTAAAACTAAGTAAAGTAATAGAATTAAGTATGTTGATGCATGAATTGAGTGTTAGAAATACAGAGAATATAGTTTAATGATAAAAGTAAAATGTTTTTTCAGGGAATTTAATTTCTCTTAACTTGGATGTATCAACTAACATTATTTTCCTTCCTTTCTAGCTAACTGCCTTCTATGAAAGCAGTTATTTAAGTGATCGTATTCTTCCAGCCAGAAGACTGAAATATGATGTCTCAAAACTTAACTAAAAAGCTGTATTCTACTGAGAGACTCACACACACACACACACACACACACACACACAAACATACATGTTTCCCCTGAAATCATTTTACATCATGGAGAAGTTTTCTGGGCTGTTTTGCAACAAGCCGAACAGCAGTGATTGGTGAGTAAAGGTGTCATGCAACTCTTCAAGACTTGCAAGCTCTTGGCAGTCACACTACATTGCACAGAAAGGTTGAGAAGAGCTTAAAGAAATCACATTTTGGATTCAACAGAGGGTTTCCACCAGCACATCGGCCAAAAGAATTTGGGAATGGATCCCACTACAGTGATGCTGACTGCATCTTTAAGAAGTGACCATGATGTTATGTTCATGTATGTATGTACATATGAGTTGAGCCTCATATATATACACACACACCACACATAAAAGCACATTGTACTGTAATACTGCAAGAAGGTATTTTTAACTTACCATTTTATTTTTTATACACATTAATCAGATATCATTACTTCAGTTGCAACTATGCACTTGTATAAAGCCATACTGTTGGAATTTATATCCTTCATCCGTGTACCTGATAGGAGATGCATGTTTGTGTAAACAGTTAACTGTAATAAGAAGTTTGAAGTTAATTATTCCAGTTTCCTAATGCCTGTGGTAGACAACTTTATCCATTTTTGAATGCCTTAATTTAATTTCTTCCCTGCCCCCCAAATCTCAGCCCTTTTCTATATTTAAGACAAGAAAGAACAGTGTTTACCAGCTCTTAGGCCGCGGCTCTTAGGCTTTGTGGGAAAATAGTGCACTCTTTTACACAGTAGTTGTGTCAGTGTCGGCCTATTGGTCATAGAGACAATAGCGGATTGCATTGGAACTAACGTGTGCGATCCCTTTTTACAGGCTTCAGCTAGTCTGTCACTACAAACTATCTCCTTTGCTTTGAACTTGCTGGTTACCCCAGATACATTTTTATTTATGGTAAAGGCAGTTTTTCACATTTTCATTTAAGATTCAAAAATTGTCTCAAATATTAAGAAAACTAACATGTATTGTATATATATTTTAATATTTAAATATTATCCTGAAACAAACAACTGTATGGTGGTATATCAGCTTTGATTATTTGGGAAGAGGCAGCCTCAAAAGCGCTTACTTTGATTCTCATTGTTAAATGCTGCTGACGTTAGAGAACAGGCAGGATAGATCCTGTTGTGCTGTGGGCCCAGGTAAGTGTGCTTCACCCCACAGCAGAGTGTAGCAGTGGGCAGCATCAGGCTCTGTACATATGCAAAGTTCAATATGATATTGAAATGTTTGCCTATTTCAGTGAAGCCAGGAGACAGTTTTCATTGCTTCCCTCTGGGGTCAGTGTAGAAATGTTGTAAAAAGTTTGATCCTCATAGATTTTATTATGGAATAGTGGCCTTTGGCCTACTGGTATACTAAATCCCAATCTGTGACCTTCAGGTGGCCCAGTTGCATCTTTCGTTCCATTTCTTAATAGATGTGCATGCCATTTCTCTGGAAGCAAGCTGTGCTCTGTAGCTCTGGTTGAGAACACAGCTTCCTTCCCTCCCTCCCTCCCTCCCTTCCTCCTTCCCTCCCTTTCTCTTCAGATTTAAAAATGAAAATATATAAAATTTATATAGAAGAACTATTTCCATTCATTAGAGTTGTTTAAAAGGAGACTGAATTAATATTTTATATAAAGATTTTGTTACACTATGGGAGGTTCTATCCTATTCTGAATTGGAGAGTATATATATATATATTTTTAATAAACTTTATTAAGGTGAAATAATGTCAAGTTTACAAATGAATAATTGAAGTATTTGAGTAAAAAAGGCAGGAGTTTAAATTTTGAATGCTGTGCATGTATATATGTATTAGAGATTGGAGAATCATGGTGTGATGCAACTGTACAAGGCAATTAATGTGAAGGATTCCGGGGAATAAAACATTCTGAGGGGCAAAAAACCTCTCCATGGAGAGATTTAACATAGGGATTTATAAGGTCATTTGTCCAAGTAACAGAATTTTGATTAAAAAAGCTGACCTTAGAGAAGTCAGAAGGGATTTGTTTTTCCCTGTTGTCATTTGCATGCACGTCAGTGCACACACCTGCCAGTTTTCTTCCCAACCCAATGGTCATTACAAGAGCAACCTAATTTTGTGCCAGTTTTGCTTTTTCTTGAGGCTCCCAAACCTTCTAGATAGATGGTTATCAGAGCAAATGTTGCTTCCTTTATTCAGTTTGTCTCAGAGCCATAAATACTTCCAATTGGGATCTAAAAGAAAGGAATGCCAAGTTTCCTTGGTTGGACACTTTTGCTTTGTGGAAATAAAAACAGAAGTAAAAGAAAAACTAAGTTCCGGTATTACTGATGAAAATTAATGTAAAATTAATTTTTAAGCATTGCTTTTAGAAAAGCAAAAAAGAAAAAAAGTTCAGTTGAAAGTTTCAAATGCCCCAGTTAACTAAAGGATGAGTGAGCTGGTAATCCCAAGGAAAGCCTGGTGTTTCTGGCCGACCTTTGGGAGGCCATGGATCCTAGAGGAGGCTCTGCATCAGTTCATGTGTAGATCTGGTGAGAAGTGCTTGAGGTTCCTGCTGCTGCCATCAGTCTGTTAGGATTCCCGGGGTGATGTGAAGAATCTCAGATACCAACTTACCTTACAGAGAGATGCTCAAGAGCAGCATGCCGAAACCCCAAGTAGAACAAGTAGCCTCCGAGCTCTCAGGCCCCTTGACTGCTACTGATTCTCCTTTCCTGCCTGAAGGTGGCTTCAGTTCCCCTGGCTCGTGAAGGCCCCACAGCCAATGTTAGAGCACTTTGACCAGCGCTGTGTGACAGTGCTGAGTGCTGTGCCCTGGGGCCTTTTGTTCCCTTCCCTGTGGTGACTTTTGTTTAGAACTGCAATAAGTTATAAACTGCATGATTTAGAGAGTCATCTTTGATCAGCCGTCCCCCTGAACAAAAAAAAAAAAATCATACCCTCTTGATTTATTTTTATTTTGTTGCATCTTTGTAGTAATGTAATTGTATTTTTATGCCTGCTTTTTGTTTAAGAAAAATAAATAAAAGAACCTAAATGTAAGCATCTTTTCCTGTGCAGTAGTTGTGCAGTGCTGCAGCTTCTTAATGTGTCTCTCTAAAGGGTGCTGATAGAAGGTGGGGTGATGTCATCATAGAGGAACGCTTCTGCCCCTGAGTCACTGTGGGCTTGCAGACTCACATATCTGGTTCCAGGTGTGGAGGGTAGAGGACACAGGGTGCCTTTCTGTCTGAAAATAGTGAGTGGTGGGCGTCTTCTAGAAGGTACTTCCTTGGTAAGCACTGGCCGTCCTCTGGTCTCAGGTTGGGTATTCTGTGAATAAACTCATCTGAAGACCGTGTCTGCCTTTCAGGACTGTCGGTTTGAAAGATGGTAGAGCATGTGAGATGGCTACAGTCACCCAGATGTTCCCTCCAGAGGTGGGATTTGCTGAACAGGTGGAGGCAGAAAGCTGAGTTTGAGGCCAGCTTGGCCTACAAAAGGGGAAGTTTTGTTTTTTTTTTTTTTTTTTTTTTTTTAAAGAAGTGCTGTAAGCAGTGGTAAAAGTGCTGTTTGAATATACCTAAAACTCTTGTTGGGGTAAGACCATAATTTATATTAAACTAATGGTCTGATTATCAGTGTGTGGGAGATGAACTTGGGTTTTGTTTTCTGACACTGGTTGATGTTTAGATGTAAAATTTCTCTCCTGGGTCTAGGGCAATCGTCCTAACAAGGTTAGCTAGCTTATTGAGGAGCTTTACCTACATAACTGAAAATTCATGACAGTTAAGATCAGTGGAATTCAATAAATGAAAGTCTTATTTTATACAAGAAACTAAGCATTTTCCAGTAAACATCATTACTGATAGTATGGCAGAATAATGATATGCACATATAAGAAAGTGTACTTTTAAGTGTCAGGTTTATAAAACATCAGAGGAAGTACTGTGAACAGTGCTTAAGATACGTTACTTTAGTAAGAATAAAATACCCAAGAATTGGGTATGACTTAGCAACATTTTTTAATGCATATCTTGCAGTAGCTAAAACCTGTACTAAGTTCCAGCAATGTAACTGTGAGGTACAGCACCTTCTTTAAAAAAAAAAAAAAAAAAAAAAAAAAAAAACTGCATTGTGCTTAAATCTGGAAGGCCATCAAGATTTCCTCACCTAAACAGAGATCAGAGCTCTGTCTGGAACTCCTTAAGGCACACTGTTAAGTGTGGGAACACTCTGATAGCCTTGCTTGCCTTGAAGGGATGTTACAGTGCTTTATGACATACAAGGCCAAGCCCTTGGTCATGGAAGGGTTAAACTGCCCAGGTGTGACTAAGCAGACCCCACTAATTGTGGGAAAACTATTTAAGACTCTAAAAGAACTTAGTCATGACTTTAAGGGTTTCTTGGGCAGCATCCACCATTGCGGGTGTCAAGCCAGGTGTGGTCGGTTCCCTCTGTAGTCCAGCATTCTTGCTGCTCAGAAGACGGAGGAAGGAGGATCACAAGTTGAAGGGTAGCTGGCTACATAGTGAGACCCTTCTCTCTCTCTCTCTCTCTCTCTCTCTCTCTCTCTCTCTCACACACACACACACACACACACACACACACACATACACCAGTATCTAAGTCCTACCACAATGTGGGTGCAGGGCAAGGAAATGGGCAATTTTAAACAAGTGGCTTTTTCCTTCTCTGAGTCCCATCTGCCATGTAGCACAAGCTACCTCAAACTCCCAAGTGCTAGATTGTAAGTTTGCACCTCCATATCTAGCTAAGAAGCTTTTCAAGACTGATTTAAAGTTTTTGATATGATTAACTAGTAAAAGACTTTAACTGTAGCAATGGAAAGCAACGGTGCATCCCCTGGTTGAGTTATTTGAAGTCCACTGTGTGTAGAAGGAATACATCCATCATTCAGCTTTGGTAATAGGCTTCCGGTAGTGCAGTACTGTTACTGTTACCCATATATTTAAAGCCAACATGATCACAAAACGGGTAAGAACTGAAATAAAAAGAAAGTTCCAACATTAAAAAAAAAACAACAACAACATTATACTGCTTTCAGTAGAAGCCTACATAAGGTTTGCCCTAACCCCTAACGAAATGATGAGATCATGAGACTCAAAACAAGATTGCTTTCAGACATTTCCTGGGAAAGGACTTCCCTGCAGAAGTGCCCACCTGGGCGTTTGGCCATGCGTCCTTGCTGCTTCATTGAAGTAATGTGATTCTGGCTAAGACGTGCAAGACCACTTTACTTACATCTTGAAGACATAGGTGTCTCAGAATGCTGCTTTCTACAAAGACCGTTCTAGTAAAATATGGTGGACCCTGCCTGTGGACCCATGAGAGGCTAGAGACTCAAGGGAAAAGCCAACCTGGGTGGCACGGCCCAAGACTCCACATCACATGCAAGTATTCCTGAGAAAACAGCCCCGGGTCGGTACATGTTATATAATAAGTGACCATGAAAAAGTGACCGACAGACAGAACAAGGGCGTTGACATGCCCTTGAAGACTGTGTTTGTTTTATGACAGGGTCTCTCTGACTCTAGCTGACAGTGACTTTAAACTCCTGATTTCTGTGTTCAGGATTGAAGCCAGGGCTCCCCACATGCATGGGAAGCCACTTTATGAAATGAACTGCAGCCCCACTTGACTTTTGAGATGTCTTTGTAATGGTAAAATACAAACAGCGTACTAGCCACACTTTATTTTGGACAGGATCTCTTTATGTAGCTCCTGGCTGTCCTGGGACTTTTTACGTAATCAGGCTAGCCTCAAACAGAGATCAGCCTGCCTCTGCCCGAGTGCTGGGGTTACAGGTGTGTGCTACCACAGGCCCGGCTGGCCATACTGTTTCTAAAAGCAAGTCACTCAGAACAGGGGTGACAAGTACAGATTGCAGTGGGAGCATTCTTGGTCTTTTAAATATAAACTTTTTTTATATATGGGCCCTCTGCTTTTTAATTACACTCGTCTCCCTCCTGTGAACTCAAGTCCCATGGAGGAGACTTAGGTCTGTCTCCTTTTTTATCCCGCCACTGAAGTCAGAGCTGATAAACCTCCCAAAGGGACTTCACTCTTCTGAAGCTTGCTTTCTCAATAAAAAGCCTAGTGTTGAGGACATTTTTGGCTTTTTGAAACAGGGTTACTCTGTAGCTTTGGAACTAGCACTGTAGACCAAGCTGGCCTCGAATTCACAGAGATCCGCCTGTCTCTGCCTCCCGAGTACTAGGATTAAAGGCGAGCACCGCCACCACCCAGCTGAGGACATTTTCTAATAGTCATTGGATAGGTTTCTGTTTCTTCACTTTTCAAAGATGCTGTGTTGGAAGTTGAAAAGAGCGTAAGGGAGAAACTCTCGTTCAGTTAACCAAAGTATTTTCTTCTCTCAGCTTCTCGGTGTTTGCACACACACACCCCTGTCTACCTTCCTGTATGAGCATGTAGCAAATGGCACTACATGAGCCCTGCTTTAAAACATAGTTGGAGGTGTCTTACTACTCAAAGGTATGTCTACAGTTCTGACTTCTCTGGCCCCTGCCAGCCTCACTGCTCAGTGTGGCCAGACCAGTGTGGCCAGCCCTGGCACCTTCTTTGCTCCTGGTCACATGTGTTCTCCTCTGATCAGACCTTTATTCAGCACTGAAGGCCTCACTTGGCAGATGACTCTCTCTGCTCCCACAGAGTAGGAAGGGCTCCTCAGCCACCCACCCTGCTGGTGTCTCTTGTTTTAGAGACCGGGTCTCCCCAGCTGGTTTGGCTCTTTTGCCTTAGCTGTCTCAGTATACAGGATTATAGATGCAAGCCACCACACCCAGCTGCCCTACTCTGAAAACCCATTTCACAGCATACTTCAACAGTTAATTGTGGGAGTCCTGTCCAGTTTCCTTGTTGAAGTAGAAACTCCAAGACGAGGCCGGGCGATGGTGGTGCACGCCTTTAATCCCAGCACTCGGGAGGCAGAGGCAGGCGGATCTCTGTGAGTTCGAGACCAGCCTGGTCTACAGAGCGAGTTCCAGGACAGGCTCCAAAGCCACAGAGAAACCCTGTCTCGAAAAACCAAAAAAAAAAAAAAAAAGAAACTCCAAGACGAGAACTGACTCCCATGGGCATATTTCTCCCCATGGACTGCAAGGAGTGGATGCATAATAGAGACAGTCACTGTTGAAGACTAATGCTTTGTCCTCTGAATCCATAGCCCAATTGAACTAAGTGGGTCTGTTAAGCCTTATGATAGGTTCTATGTTAGACCAAAGTTACCCCCCCACACACACACACATACAAAAACAAAAGAAAGCAAAACCCAGGAAGTCAAAAGGAAGTTTTGCTTACTTGTGAAATCATTGGTGGTCATTAAAGTTGTTATTATTCGTGCTGTAAAAGAAAATTCATAGCAATATGTAACTTCTCATACATTTTGTATTTCTATTTAGCTCATTCCTTTCAATTTTACTACATAATATACGTTAACTTCTTGAATGACTTTGATAGGGGACCCTTGTTAATGCTGTATTGTGTAAACCTCTAATGAGCAGCCATACACCCTGGCCCTGGCCCAGTCTGTAGGAGCTTCTCTAAGAAGCATTTCTGACAGTAGCGCAGCACTACCTGGGAGAGCTCCCATCCCTCCTTGTGCTCACCCCTCCCCCAAAACAACAAAAACAATCTCAAGTGTCATTTGCATATTGAGCTTCCAGTTATTTTACTTGAAGAAAGGCTCCCACTAATTAAATGTGTGTGTGTGTGTGTGTGTGTGTGTGTGTGTATGTGTGTGTGTCTGTGTGTGTAGGTAAATAGGCTGGAGAGATGGCTCAATGGTTAAGAGCACTGGTTGCTTTTCTAGAGGAACTGGGATCACTTCCCAGCACCCATGTGGAAGCACATAACCCCAGTCACAGAGAATCTGACCCCTTTCTGGCCTCCAAGGGCACCAGGCATGCCTGTGGTACACATATATAAATTTAGGTGTAAAACACCATATGCATAAAATTAAACAAAAATAATGTTTTTAAAATTATGCAAATTTGAGACAAGGTCACTGGCAGTTCTGGAATCCCAGAGCCCCACCTGCCTCAAATACTGAGCACTGGGATTAAAGGCACACATTACCGCATTTGGCAGAAATTCTTTTTTTTTTTTTTGGTTTTTCGAGACAGGGTTTCTCTGTGGTTTTGGAGCCTATCCTGGAACTAGCTCTTGTAGACCAGGCTGGTCTCGAACTCACAGAGATCCGCCTGCCTCTGCCTCCTGAGTGCTGGGATTAAAGGCGTGCGCCACCACCGCCCGGCTTTGGCAGAAATTCTTTAAGCATTGAACTCCACCCCATTTTTCACAAGTAACAAAACTAAGACTTGAAGAAGATAAATTCTTCCTGTCTAACCAGAGTTCTTTTGTTAGCTCCTTTCTCTGTAGTGAACAGGACTCTGGGTGACAGTTGAAGCCACAGTCTGTATTACGGCCCCTTATACACAGGGGTACCTTTCTTTCTTTAGCAGGTTCTGTTGCATAGTTAATTGTAAAAGTATTAGTGCACAAAAGAAGACTCTGATGTCCCTGGAGAATGGTGGCCTTACTTGCACAGGTGTAGGCAGAGAGGCCCCAGGACAGTGCACTCACGGCTTCCGAGTCCTGCACCTTCCACAGATACTGGAGCTGGGCAAACTTACTGGCTGCACTGATGACCGTGCTTAAGTTCTGTTGTGGAAAAGAAGTGAGAAAGTCAGGAGCCTGAGAGGACAGGAGCGGATGCAGTACCTTTGTAAACACAGTTTGTTCTCTACAGAAGTGAGAAAGTCAGGAGCCTGAGAGGACAGAGGAGCGGATGCAGTACCTTTGTAAACACAGTTTATTCTCTACAGAAGTGAGAAAGTCAGGAGCCTGAGAGGACAGGAGCGGATGCAGTACCTTTGTAAACACAGTTTATTCTCTACAGAAGTGGCAAAGCTTGCGAAAGCTAGTTCTGTGGTCCTGGGAATTGAACTCAGGTCATCAGGCTGGGCAGCAAGCGCCTTTAACCACTGAGTCATTGCATTAGCCCGGATACAGTGCCTTTTAAGCCACACTTTCAAGACTAGCAGTCTCCAATGTGCCAAGGTTTGAAACTTCAATTTGGTGAAGGATGACCCTCATCTGCCTCTCTGGTAGGGCATGAACTGGCCTGGCTGCAGATGCACCCTGCCTTCTACTCTCTCCCCATACTCTCTCCCCAGAATAGGTATGGTGTATCCCAGCCTGTCGCTAAATAGACCAACTTCCAAACTGTTCCTCATTCTTGTCTGTTATCTCTTAGACAAGAAAGCCTTGCAAATTGGCTGTCAGCCCATCATGCTCACTGCTCAGGACAGAGGGAGCCCACTACAGTCATCTAGGCTGGGTAGAATGGCATGAGCAGCATTCAGAAGTCAGGGAGATAAAGTTAGGAAGGGCCACAGAAAGTGGTGTGTTTGAAAGCCAGGCGAGAGAATCAAGTGAATGCTATAGAGATCCTGATCTGTAGTGAAACTTCAGAGATGAGAGGCATGGGGCCTGACTGCTGGCTTTCAAATGAGTGACAAGTCACAGGACCTTTCACAGGCTCTGCTTCCTCCTTGTGTGGGCACCTGGCTGGCCTCCAGAAGTTCTTATGGGTGGGAGATGGGGCTACATGGGAAAGAATCACCGAGAAAGGAGTGTCAGAGTGTATCTGGGCAGAGGAGGGAGCAATGCCTTTGCCAGGCTTAAACAGACAAAAGTCACAATGGGAGCTGGGCACAGATGACCTGCAGGAAGCCTAGACCCAAGCAAGGAATGCTGTGAAAAAGGAAGCTCTTGAGAAATTGGGGTGCTGGATAAAGCAAAGGAAGGTGGCAGGACCAGCTTAGTGTGGTGGGGAGGGACACCATAAGTGGCTTAGGTATAGCCAGCCAAATGGACAAGTTAGTGACATGTTCGCTTTTCAAGAAAAAAACCAACTTTGAGATCAAGGGGGTGGTCTGGGAGCAGGCCATAAGAGAACCCTGGTAGTGTCAGCACACACTGAAGGGAGAACATCGTGTTATCCCACAAAACAGTCCACTGCAGGCAGGGATGTGCATCAGCTGCATGTGTCTACCAGAGAGCAGGTGCACAGTGAGCGCTTGTAGGGGGACTGAGGGAGGGGTCACGGAGTGGGAGGAAAACAGGAAGGTTATCTTAAAACTTACGCTGTCAGGGATGGCAAGGTGGCTCAGTGGGTGGGGAAGATAGCTGTGGGGCCTGATGACCTAAATTCAGTCCCCGAAACCCACAAGATGGAAGAAGATGGCTTACAAATTTCTGCATGCATCCCCACCCCCTCACACAAATAAAAGGGGGAGTTGACCTTAGTGTTCCCCTTGAGCTCCAAACCTTTCAAAAATAATGTCTTAATATTTGGCCGACATTGCCTTTTCATCCTCCTCAACATAGCTGCAAAATGTGGGTGAAACCCCATGTCTAAAGCAGTGGTTCTCAACCTGTGGGTCTCTATCCCTTGGGATATCTAACGACCTTTTCACAGGAGCCACCTGAGACCAAGGGAGAGCACGGATACTTAGATTACAATTCATAACAGTAGAAAAATGACAGTTATGGAGCAGCAGTGAAAATAATTTCATGGTTGGGGGTCCCCACAATATGAGGGAGGTGAGAAACACTGCTCTAAAGCGGTCGGGGGCAAAAAGAAGGCACCTGCTTTTCCAGTTTCCCTCTGTTAGGGGCACCACTTACCATGGCCAGGTCGATAATCCATTTCTGCAGGCTGAGGATGAACCAGGATGACACAAATCTGGCCAAGTGCTAAGGGACCCAGCAGGGAGTCACTGACAGCCCCACCCACCCCTCCCTTCTTGTCCTATACAGGCCAAGCTAGACCACAGAGGGTGACACAGAAGTCTATGTAAAGGGGTGGGGACTGCTCTGCTGGATGGTGTCCAGTTTGGAAAAGATGCTAAGGGGTTGCATGTGAACATCTGTTCTGAGTTCAGAAGAACGGAAGCAAATTATGGGAGAAAACGCACAGATCTGTGTTCACGAACTGTGATTCATACGGCTGTAGCTACAATGCTGGTTTCCTGACTGTGCAGACTTCTCTAATGCATCATCAAAATTAAGCGCTTACAAGAAAGGTTCAAGCATGCAAAGGAGAGGTGTTCTGCAAAACCGGTGAGCTCTGTGTGACCTTTTTGTGGATCCGCACCCCTTTCCCACTAATTCTGTTGTAAAAGCACATGTACAATGGTAGGCAAGGAGAGGAACCATTTTCCATCTGACCTGTGCAGGATTCCTGATTCAATGAATAGAAACAAAAGAGCCCAACCAGGGCAGAAATATCAAACCATGAGGGCTGAAGGGAGCCATAGTCAGGGCAGGAGTGGCTAGGAGGAACAAGTTACTAACCGCTGCCTTGCCTCGGGGTTTTATTCCCTGCCCGGTCCATATCCCATATGCTATCTGCATACAGAAGAACCCCAAAGGTGGCTGAAAACAATGGTTACATTAAACTGGTGAAGGGATTAAACTAGAGATGACCCACAACAATGGCTGGCATCTAGCTGCACTAAACTCTACTAAAACATTCTCTTTGCGAATGTAGTGGGGGCATGCCTGTAATCCCAGCGTCTGGGAGGCGGAGGCTGGGGGATCAGAAGCTCAAGCCATCCTCACCTACCAGGAGAGAGGAAGGCAAACACAACCCCTTGAAACTGACCTCAGAGCACAGCTATACTCTTTTTCTTTAATGGAGAGGGGAACCTGAGCCAGGAACTCATAGCAATCTGAGACAGTCTGTGGTCAAGACTTACCCAAATCCTGGGGCCTCTCACTGTAAAAAGGGTGCATGGTCATGTCATGGAGGCAGCAGGATTAGCTGACTGCCGTCATGACGCAGACACTCTTGGCCTTTTTAAGGAGTTGGAAGTTTAAGAGAAGTGACATCAAATCCTTATGAAAAAGGCTGCCATGAAACTACGCTCTGCGTAGGAGACGCCACAGCGTGGACTGGTCTAATGCCTCGCCATTCTGCGTGGTAAGCCTCCAAACCAACACAGCCACCCAGACAAGGCCCAGCCTCTAAATTACAGCTTTGCATAGGTGCATGCTTAGCGGGAAACTGCCCCAGCCAGGTCTGTGCCTACTGGCAGGCACCTACCAGGTGCATCCTGCATGGGACTTGGTGCCAGGCACTGTCATGTCACATTAATCCCCTGGGGACATGCTCACGGAAGGAAGGAGGGCTTGAGATAAGCACAGGTGGAGCCTCTTGCTCTTAGCAGGGTGACTACAATCCTCTTGCGTTCAGCAGAATCTAGATCCCATGTGGTCTTGGAGGGCAGGGGGGGCAATCATATTATAGGGACACCACTGGCAGCAACTGTACTATCCTAAGGACTGTGTAAAGACTCACAATGTATGAGTCTTTTTTAATTAAAAAAAAAAGATCTTGTTTCACAGTGCAGAATATTAGCAAATGACACCCCAAATCCCCCCTACCCTTTTTTGTTGCCGAGGACAGAATTCAGAGCCTCTTGCATGCCACCATGAGCCCCTTTCCTTAGCCCCCTCCACCTCCATGTCCAGCTCAGATGCAGGAAGGATACACGGCCATGTAGGGCAAGGCCTGCTTCACGTTCCCATTGAAGTGGAAGACGAAGAGCAGGAGGATGATGTCTGAAAGAAGAGACCGTGAGATGGGCAGAGCAGCAGGTTAGGCTGGGAAGGGGGGTGGGATGGGGAGTTGTCAGTTACCTTGTGCGATGAGAATGGGGTATTCCAGGTAGGTGAGCAACGGGTTCCCATAGTAACATTGGTAGCGAAAGAAGACCAGGAACCTGGAGGCAGGACATGTAGATATTCACAGCCCACCCTGAGACCCCGCCAGATCCCAGGCACATTTATCCAAGACTAGAGCATGCGGTCTTCACCATGCTTGTGACTTCCCTGAGGATAGACCTTCAGGAATGTTGCCAGAGACACAGACAGCCGGTCCAAAAGACCTTGAGTGTCGGTACTTTGCCAAACACCTTTGCAGGTCACCTACAGTGCCTGCCATATCATATGGAGAAACTAAGGCCCAAAGATGACAAGACCATGTGAGAACTCAAGGTTAAGATGTCAACTCAGGCTCTCTCCCTGAGGACTGGCTTCTGTGCTTTTAGGGGGACCCGAACACCTGTACCCTGAGGATGATGCACGAATGCTTTGCAGTCTTTAAGGTTTCTGTGTAAAGCAATCATCAACCAGGCATGAAGTCTCCGGTGTCATTGGTTCTGGCCAAGAACCAATTCCCTCAAATCAGAATTTTAGAGTTGGAGCTCTCAGGTCAAAATCCAAAGAGGGTCCATGCCCCCAAGGCAGGAGTCCAGTCCCTGGAGGATGCAGGCTGTATGATAGTGGTGGATGCCTCAGAGCCTGTCTGATTGGTGAAGGTCAAGCAGGCAACCAAGCAAAGCCCAGGCGGGTGCAAAATTGAAGTGACCCCCACCCCCAGCCATGCAAGGGGAAGGGAGCGGGGAGGTGGGAGGAGTGGAAGGTGGGAGGAGTGGAAATGGAGACAGCTGAGATTAGGCAGGGTTGCCCTCCTATCCCTATTGTTCCTAGCTCAGGATTAAAACAACTCTTCAGCTCAAACTGCTGTGAGGATTAAGAAAGGAATGCATGTAGGGTTCCAGGAGGACCTCCGGAAAGACCACACGAACTGGGAACTATTGCAGTAAACTGCCGGCAGAAGTAGGGATAAATAACTATCAGGTTTCAGTGGTGCCGCATACCCACGCCTTCTGGCCTTAGAGCTGGTCTTAACCCTGCCAAACCTAACTACAGAAACCAGTCGCAGTTGCCCGCCCACTGCCCGAAGGGAGAGAGGCAGTTGAGATTTCCAGAAAGAGCCTACTTTATCTGTACCGCGATAGACTACAAAACCATCCGAGTCTCAAGGAACATTTCCATGACCAGAGCTGCTGGGGTCAGCTGTTGGATTTGAGACGATTTCTGATTGGATTTGCGTGTTTAAAGCCAGGCAGCAAAGAGGGAGCTACAGGCAGGGGAGGAGATGGTTAGCGTTCTGTAGGCATCAGAGAACTTTCTATTCAGTCTGCACCCTGAAGCCTGAGCTTCATGCTCGCGAAGAACTTAGCATGCCAGAGGCCAAGTAACTCTCCTGACTTAAAACACCTGCATCCTCTAACCCCAGCCTGCATCCTTCAGTCTCAAGCCTTACCCATCACCTCTCTCTCTCTCTCTCTCTCTCTCTCCCTCCCTCCCTCCCTTCCTCCCTCCCTCCTTTCCTCCCTTCCCCCCTCTCTGAAATGCACATACTCTTGTTCTACGCAGCCAACGGACCAGGGACCCTCCCGCCCGCTCTCTGAAAAGGTGCACCTTGAAGCCCACCCTATCAGATGGGCGCTCTCCTCGGTGTGGATGACAGCGGGGAGGGGCTGGTGCCTGGTGCAAGATCACGCGACTCAGGGACGTGTTTCCCATTTAATTTGTTTTTCCCAAAGTTTCACGACTTTACCTCTTACTCTTAACTACTGAGCCAAAGTCACCAATAACTTGGCTCCTGCAGCAGCCATTGCCCAAACCTGCGTGTTGGACCCCAGCCCAACTTCCAAACGCCTACCCAAGTTCCCCCTCTTCGTTCCCCCTCTTCATTCCCACATGGAATCATCAAATCTTGTAACTCAGATCTCAGCCCAACCACTGGTTTACAGGCAAGGGACTCTAGGCTGGGGGAAAAAAAAAAATGTGGGTGGTGCCGGGTGAGGTTAGGGGTCGTTAAGGGACCGCAGGTGCAAATGGCTTCCCCCGCGGCTGGAAGGCCGTAGCTAAGGACAGGATGGGGGTCGGGGTGACTTCGCAGAATCTCTAAGATGGGCGTGCACAGGCATTTCGTACCTTCCGGGATTTGGGGAGAAGCAAGGGAGGTGTGTGGGAGCGCCCGGGAAAGCGCCTCCCAGCTCCGCGCCCCCCGAGTTAACCCTCGGTCTCCCGGATTCGCAGGCCTCCCGGGGCCTTACCCAGCCAACTCCAAAAGTAAACTGGGGAGGCTGATGCCCCGCGCACTGCGCGCCGCCAACTGCGCGTAGATCTGCGGCAGCTTGAGTGCGGCGCAAACGCCCAGCGTGCTCCAGTTGCAGAACCACAGCAGCCCGGCCTCCATACTGCAATCCCGGGAGTGCGGGATCAGGGGGCTGCGGAATCTCGTGGGTGAGAACCAGAAGCTCACGGTCCAAAGTCCTTCCGCCTTCCCGCCCGCCGGGCGACGCCCCAACCACGCCCCGAGCTGCTGCGCTCCAAGTGCGCCCCGCCCGGTGTCGGCTGGACTCTGGAAGCTCCCCGCCCAAGTCCGCTCCGCTCTGGTGGGCCCCTCCCCTCACCCCTCCCCTTTGGACCCCTCCCCGTCCTGTGTTTGCTATGCTCAGTGCACACACCGCCCAGAATCTGCTCCGACCCTGGTGCACCCCGCCCTGAGTCTGCTCCACTCTGGGTGCGTCCTGCCCCGTGTTTGTTCCACTCCAGGTGCACAACGCCCCGAGCTTGCTCGACTCAGGATGTTCCCCACCCGGTGTCTGCTCCACTCTGGGTGCACCCGGCCTCGTGTCTGCTCTGCTCCGGGTACTCCCAGCCCCGGGGTGGTGGCTCTGCTCTGTCCTGCCCAGCCGGGTTCTGCCTGCTGCTGATTCACTTTCCGGGTTCCACCCACGGGTGCCCTTTCTAGCGGAATGGAAATGCTGGGACAGACCAGCCTCCCCAGAGGTTGGGTGGGCACAGGGCCTACCGCTCAGGCCATTCCGAGTGTTTTTCCACCCTCTGTAAATTAACCTTTGTACTTTAAACCTTTCAGAAATTAAAGCTTTTTTTTTTTTTGGTCCAACTTCGTCAGCATTCTCCCAGACTCGGCCTGAAGAAGCCTGAGGACTCCGAGGCCCCCCGAAACCCAGCCACTCGGAGCTACTCTTCTGTTGGTTTAAGAAGTCCACCGGGTAGGCTAATCCCCTTAATGAACTTGCTCCCTGAACCCGGAGGCTGCTTTTCCTGTTTTGTTTTGTTGAAACGAGGCCTCCGACCGCGCAGACTGACTGGCCTTGAACTCAAGGTGAACCAAAGCCAGCTTTCCACCCGGACCCTCCTGTTTCCGCCCTGCTTTCCAATCCAGAACCTGTAGTGGGTGGGTTGAGGTCGGGTCACAGGACCCAGACTGGTTTTGAACTTCTGTTTTTTTTCCCTCCGCCTTTTGGCAAATGCTAGGATTTCTAACTTGTTCCATCGTACCACGTGAGAGCCCGCTCTTTCCCTCCTCTTTTTATTTTTATTATTAGGGTTTTGTTGTTGTGTGCGCAAGACAAATGGACACCCTCAGGTGTCATTCCTGGAGTACCGTACACCCTCGCGGGCTTGGGACTCACTAAACAGGCGAGGCTAACAGGCCAAGGGACCCCAGTGATCCTCTTTCTTTCAACCTCCCCATCGCTGAGAATACAAATACACATTGCCTCAAAAGTGTTAATAGGTGGGGGCTGGAGAGATGGCTCAGTGGTTAAGAGCACTGACTGCTCTTCCAGAAGTCCTGAGTTCAATTACCAGCAACCACTTGGTGGCACACAGCCATCTATGAGATCTGGTACCCTCTTCTGGCCTGCAGGCATACATGGAAGGAATACTGTATACATAATAAGTAAATAAATTCTTAAAAAAAAAAAAAAAGAAAGCACCGCCTATTCCTCCAGCGGTCTTGAGTTCAATTCCCGGCGACCACGTGGTAATTCACAACCATTCACAACCATCTGTAGTGAGATCTGGCGTCCTCCTCTGGCGTGCAGGCGTACATGCTACAGAAACACTCTATACATAAAAAAAAAAAAGAGTTAATAGGTAACTATTATTGAAAAGGGGTTGCCGGGCGGTGGTGGTGTACACCTTTAATCCCAGCACACAGGAGGCATAGGCAGACGGATTTCTGTGAGTTCGTGGCCAGCCTGGTCTACAAGAGCTAGTTCCAGGACTGGCTCCAAAGCAACACAGAGAAACCAAACCCTGTCTCGAAAAACCAAAAGAAAAGGGGTTGTCGTGGTGCGCTGCTGTTTCCTCCAGATTGGATTCCTGCTTTCTGGAAGGAGAGCTGAGGCTGCTGTGATCACCACTGGGAGGGGCGGGTGGGGGGGGGTTACAAACTGTAAATAGTAGGGAAACTAAGTTGCTTGCAGGGACTACAACTCCAGCGAGTGATGCAATTTTCTTGAATCAACACCCATTAAACAATCCCAATAAACTCACTGGGCGGACTCTATAATATATTGGAGCCCTGCCTGGGGTGAATTGGTGCCGCCATATATCTCCCTGGGAGAAATAACACAACTGGGCACCACCCTTTAGGTACAAGATTGGAAGATGGGGTCATTTTCCCTCCTCTGGAGATCACTAGGTTATGAGTCTGAACACACACACACACACACACACACACACACACACACATGCACAGACGCACAGCTAGTCTGCAGTAATTCTGGGCTGTAAACTATGCACCAGCACACACCTTCCACCTTGCCTCCAGTCCTCACCAAAGTCCTCACCCTTCCCATGGAAGAAGTCAAAAGGCTCTAACGCTTCCCTCCCACTAGAGAGATCTTTGAAGGGTGTGTGTGTGTGTGTGTGTGTGTGTGTTTCCACGCTTTGGCTATGTCTCTCTTAAGTCGGCAATTCTGTACCTAAGTAGTCGAGAATGGAGATATGATACAGTCAGCTCTGCTCCGAGTTACTTACTGTGTAAATTACTTGTGTAAAGCCAACAGCCTCCTAGCTCAGCCTTGCCCTGAGTAACTCCATTTTACAATATAGCAGTTTGTTCCATTTTGAGGGTAAATGCTAAGACAAAAGGACTCCAAATCCCATAGAGGTAAACAACTGTCTAAACCTGTAGGGATGTGGTCTAGGCTCTGCACGTGGCTTGCCTGCCTGTATGTATTACTACACATAAGCTACTGGCCAATGTGCTGCAGACCTCAGGTGACTTAGCGGTCACCTGGAAACTACTCAGAGCTTCTTAAGCTCTTCCCACTCACAGCCCTTCTCACAGTCCCTGTGACCCTGGAGGAGAATGTAGGTGCTGTGATCAGGCAGCAGCTTGCAGAACCAGCCTGGATAACTTTCCTTTCGCCCTTTCTTTCTCTGTCTCTTTCTGAAGCATGCTTTCCCAGACACTTGGATTCCCTCCCTTTCCCAGACACTCCCCTCCCCTCACTTTTTGCATCACACTGGCTGCTTGGCTGCCAGGTGGCTACTTGCTAAATAAAGGACTTTTCCCCAAGATTTACAGTTAGCCTGCCCCTGCTTTTCTCAAACTCTAACAAAAAACATCCTTGAACTTAAAAAAAAAAACCAAACTGTATAACTCAAACACCAGCTGATAACAAATCAAAAAATTTTTTTTCAAAATAATTCTTTGGTTTACACATAGTTTTACAATTTATTAAAGATTAAAGTTAATTTGCATACTGAGGTGGTTGTGTTTATTTTTACATACAGAATTAAAATTTGATTCAATATTTGATAGGACAGAAAATAGAACATTTTCAAATTTTTTCAGAGTTGACTGATATCTTTATTTTATTTTTAAAGTTTTAAAAATTTCTCTTTTATGTGTGTGAGCATTTTGTCTGCATATATGTCTGTGTACCACATACATGCCCGATGCCCATGGAGGCCAGAAGAGGACCTTGGATCCCTTCGAAGAGCAACAATACTTGTAGCCCCTGAGCCATCTCTCCAGCCCTTTGATATTTTGATTTTATAACTTCCGATACTGAGAATGCCCCTTTACATGAATAGCTAATGCAAAATGGCACTGGATGTTTAAGGACATTTTAGAAATTGTTGCAAATTTATCACAAGCCAAACACCTTTTTTAAAAATGAAACTTGAATCAAGTAGAGCAGCAATTGTGTGTGTGCATGTGTGTACATGGTATGCATGTGCATGTGTATACACATGGGTGTGCATGTGTATGTGTGGCATGTGTGCATGTGTGTGCGCATGTGTGTACGTGTGTGTGTGTGCGCGCGCGTGTGCGTGCGTGTGTGTGCGCGCCTGTGTGTGTGCATGTGTGTGAGCATGTGTGTGTGTGCGTGTGTGCGCGCATGTGTGTGTGTGCGCGCATGTGTGTGTGTGCATGTGTGTGCGCATGTGTGTGTGTGCATGTGTGTGTGGGTGCCAAGCCATGTACATGTGCCTGTGTGGACTGCTCCAGGCAGCATCTCTTGAGGTTGTGCGGTGTGACAGCCTGCTAACTACAAATCACGCACACTGTATATTCAGAGGCACAGCCATGGAGAAGTCACAGAATACAACTGGCTAGCACAGCCAGAAACATCAGGAGTACATTACATGTTTGTCTTTGAATTAATTTTTGGTCATTGCATGTCCAGCACTCTTACTGCGACCATATTTTTGCAGACCCCACATGTAGTTACCTGGCTCCCGCTCAGTTTCAGAAGCCGGGATCTACACCAGCGCAGCGTGACACCGACCTGTTCTCCACTAGGTCACGGTGTAGTGCACCCACCGGCTGCCTGTCCTCCGGCATTTATTCCCCACAGCGCTCTCTAGAGTCTCTTTGGCCTGGGCTGCCTCTCACCTGGGCCACTACTCAGCTCCCTTTGTCTTTCACAAAGAGGCAAGCATGGGCTTCTGTCCTTTCCTGGAGGCTCTCAGGTCACATGTACTCTGTCTCGAGGGAGAGCTCCTTGGGTAGCTCCAGAGTGTCATTTTGGGAGGTACTTCATGTCAGCAGCCCTTCTCCTGATGGGACTCCCTATGAATCTCTAACCTAAGGTTTCTGTGGCCTTTATTAATTCATACCTAAAGTAGTTATGAGTGTTAGGCCTAAAATGACGATATTTCTGTTCTTAATTCTGTAATTCTCAAGAGTTCAGTATTTGAAAAAAATGTAATTATATTTAATCATGTGTATGTGTGTTTGTGTGTGCACATGAGTCAGGGGTGTAGCCAGGGTTGGCCCTCTACTTTTCCTTCACGTTGACATCGACATTGTTCTAAACTTGGTGGATAGGCACCCCCAGAATAACCCATGCATCTTTTTACACTACCTCATCATGTCTAGTACAGGAAGATGCGCAAGGGTCACTCTGTGTCTCCATGGCAAGCGGTCATTCTTTACCACTGGAAGTAGGGGTAGCGTCTACCACAGGGCAGAAGGAGGCAGAGATGCTCAGAGAAGCAGTGGTCTAGAGTGAAGGGGGCTCCTTCCTGCCCTGCTGTGGGCCTTAGCTCTCTGGACTTGACCCTTCTGGACTCCTGGTGCTGCCCAGCCTGTGGGCTCTGAGCTGCCCTAGGGATTTCCAGTGAGGCCATGGAGCTTTGGTGCTACTTCCCCATGCTTAGGCCTGGAGCCTGGCTGCCTGGCGCATCCAGCCTTCTTTGTTCTGGTCCCAAAGACAGAAGGCACTGGTGGCCGGACCCATGTCCATTTCCTTAGCCCATGGGTGAGATAGTGAAAGTCAAAGCAGACAGCTTCCTGAAGAGCCTGAAGACATGATGGGGGTGGCAGTACGTGGGGTGCAGAGTATATGTGGGGGGGCTGGCTGCGACCTGCAGAGTCACACAGACACAGTATGGCATCCTCTCTTTCCGGCTCTCTTGGCACTCTGGAGATGAGCAGAGAGAAGCTTGTACCCCAGGAGCCTGTTGGTCCAAACAACTGAGAGACATGTAGACAAGATCTCCAGTATAATGTTCCAGCCAAGGTCTATGCATGGGAAAGGAGGCTGTGAGCTGTACTGTATTTTCCTTCTGACCAACGTGCTCTAGAGAAGACCAGCCCTGTGATATCCTTGAGATCTGTCTCCTCCTCTCTCCTGCCCATCCTCTAACTGTGGAGATGGAGGCCAGGATGGGTATGGCTGCCCTGAGTCAGACATCACAGGGAACTGACCAGTCTGCCCCAGATGCTTGCCTTGGCTTCTAGACTTCTCGGCTAGTGACAAAAATACATGTGAAGAAGGTGATTTGGGCTTAAACTTTGCACCATCTGTAAATGGCTGTGCTTGTGGCTTGGAAAGCACTCCTGGGCTCCCGGTCCCATGCCCCAAGAGACAGATTAGAGAAGTCTTTATGAGATCCTCTAGTGTGCTTGGGGGAAGCCACCTGCAGCTGAAGTGAGCCTTGACTTTTGTTTGTTTTTTGTTTGTTTTGTTTTTAGGTTTATGTGTATGTGTCTGTATAATGGTGCATTCAAGTGCCCTTAGAGGCCAGAGAGGGCATTGGATTCCTTGGGGCTAGAGTTACAGATAACTGTTAGCCACGAGGCAGGTGCTGGGAAGTGAACCTAGGTCTCTGCAAGTCCTTTTAGCTGCTGAGCCGCCACGGCTCCTGTGATCTTGGATTGGTCAGGATAACTAGCTTTGACCTTAGACTCCCAGGAGGAAGGCTACAGCCTGGTGTGGGAAGTCCTTCTGTATATGTGTTGCTTTTATTGGTTAATGAATATATCTGGCCAGTGGCTTAGCAGAATAGAGCAAGGCAGGAACTCCAAGCAGATAGAGGAGAAAAGAAGGCAGAGTCAGGGGGAAGCCATGTAGCCTCCACCAGAGACAGATGTGCTGGAACTTTGCCGATAGGCCGCGACGTCATGGTGATGCACAGATTAATGGAAATGGGTTAGTTTAGGATAGAGTTAGCCAGAAATACGCTTAAGTGATTGGCCAAGCATTGATTTAATTAATATAGTTTCTTTGTGATTATTTCATGGTCTGGGCAGCCGGGAATGAACAAGTGGCCTCCACCTACAAATTGGCGGCGCGAACAGCAGCCTTCAGGTCAGCTGGTAGTGTGCTACCAGCTCGCCCTGCCTCCTCCCAGTGCATGAAGTCAGGTTGAGGTGCCCCAGCACACACAGACAGACAGACAGACAGACAGAGGCAGAAACTGTGAACAACCTCATGGTTATAAAGTCAGACTGAACCCATTAAACACGCTCCCACCTTTAACACTGGGTTCCCACTTTAACTCTGGGGTCCTGAGCAGGAAGGGCTGAGTAAAGTTCTGTGGTCCTAGGGGTGTTTCTGGAATCCTCCTCCTGCCCCATATGAGACTGACCCAAGAGCACCCACACTCTGAGGGCCTCCTGGACTCTGTCCATTCCACACCTACCTGCTGGGGTCTGTCCTGAGATCCCTACACTGGCTGCAGCTCATCCTCCAGCTTCTTCTTCCTCGTGCCTTCCGTAAAGAAGAAATCCATGTGGGTGAGGGCTCTCCCCAGGGCTGTGTCCACCCTACTGCCCACCTCCTGGCTCGTGGACCTGGGGAGTGTGTTTGAGAAGAAGGGCACGTCTTCAGGGAGCTTCTCAGGCTCCTTCTTATTTCCCTGAGGAGAGGAGACATCTCAGGTCACCGGCCCCGTGGGGATATGAAGGAAGAATGAATGTTGACACCATAAGCAGTTTTCTGGAGGGGTGTGGCCTTACCAAAGGGTCGTAGTCTTTCAGAAAACCCCAATTCTCAGCCCTGGAAAGGAAAGCACAGGAATGTGAGTGGGACTGTTTGTTTATTTTGTTTTCTGGAATATTCTGAAGAATGACTTTCACCATCTCTCTCTCTCTTTTTTTTTTTTTTTGGTTTTTTGAGACAGGGTTTTTCTGTAGCTTTACAGGTTGTCCTGGAACTAGCTCTTGTAGACCAGGCTGGCCTCGAACTCACAGAGATCTGCCTGCCTCTGCCTCCCGAGTGCTGCGATTAAAGGCGTGTGCCACCACCGCCCGGCTTTCACCATCTCTTGAAGTCTTTTTATCATCATGGAGGAGTTAAAATGCTTCGTAACCACTATAATAATGCCAAGTGCCCATGTTATATTTAGGGAGCAGCCCATAGAGTGGCCAGCGACTTTTTCTATCTGGTTTTTATAATTTTCACCAATTCTTATTTCAGATGTTATGTGTTTAACACTTCGTGTTTAGCTTCCTTATTTATTCATTTGTCTGTTAATCTCCAGGTTAGTTTAGAACTCACTACGTAGCTGAAGATGACCTTGACTTTTTTTGTTTGTTTGAGACAGGGTCTTGTTGTGATCTTAACTGGCCTGAATCTTTCTTTACAGACCAGGCTGGCTTTGAACTCACAGAGATCTGCCTGCCTTTGCCTCTGAGTGCCGGGATTAAAGGTGTGCACTGCCACACCTGACAATCTTGAACTTCTGATCCTCCTGCCTCTGTCTTTCCAACACCGGGATTACAGGCTCAAGTCACCCCCATTTGTGCCGGTCTAAATGAGAATGGCCCCTATAGGCTTATGTATTTGAAGACTTGATTCCTAGTTGGTAGAACTGTCTAGAAAGGATTGGGACATGTGGCCTTGTTGGAGGAGGTATGTCACTGGAGGCAAAAAGCCCATGCCATTCGCAGTGTATACCCACCTCTTTCTTTCCTTTCTGCCTTCTGCTCACAGATTAGGATGTGAGCTCTCAGCTACTGCTCCAGTGCCTGCCTGCCTGCTGCTGTGCTTTCTGCCACCATGTAGACCAGGTTGACTTTGAACTCAGAGATCTGTTTGCCCCTGCCTCCTAAATTCTAGGATTAAAGGTGTCAGTCACACTGCCCAGCTAAGTTTACATTTTTAAAATAAAGTCTGTGTGCAAAGCCCTGGACAGTGTGTGTATTTGGAGAGCCTTCATCTAGACTTCATGCTGTGGGATAATGCTTTTGTACGCTGTAAAGATTTGTCACCTGTATTGGATTAGTTTAACACTGATTGGCTAGTAACCAGGCAGGAAGTACAGGCGTGACAACCAGACTAGGAGAGTTCTGGGAAGAGGAAAGGCTCAGTCTGCAGTTGCCACCCAGATGCAGAGGAAGCAGGATGAGAATGCCTCACTGAGAAAAGGTACCAGGCCACATGGCTAAACATAGATAAGAATTATGGGTTAATTGAAGTTGTAAGAGCTAGTTAATTACAAGCCTGACCTAATTGGGCAAACAGTTTATAATAAATCTACGCCTCTGTGTGTTTCTTTGGGACGACCAGCTGTGGGACCAGGCGGGGCAGAAACTTCTGTCTACACTTTCACAACTGCGTGGGTGGCCGCTCTGTAGCTGTCTTCCTCCTTACTGTGCTTCCACCACTCTTAGGTTTTGTCTTACAAACTCCAAACTGGGCATACAGTTCGGAGGCATCGTCCCTCCTTGCTTAGTTTACTTACCTGCTTCTCTCGGGGTCCTAGAAGGGAGCCCCCCCCCCCAACCCTGGTCAAACCTACCCAGCTTCCCCTGGCAGCCCACAAAGGCTCATGGGTATCCTTTGTTGAATGAAGGCATGAAGGGGGCCCCCCACTGCCACCCCCAGACCAGCATTCCTCCCCGGGTAGAGCTTAGATTCCCAACACCAGCTTCCCATCTGACCTGCCATGTCCATCTGGAGAGAGTGCTGGGAGATGGGACAAGGGCCCCCTCTGTGTCTATATTCCCAGCTGCCTGCTGGGACTGAGGCCCTGGGCTCCCGTAGGGGCTTCAGACCCTCCCTCACACCGTACTTTAATTAATGTTCTCCCTGTCCTAATCTCTTTTCCATATATTCTCCCTTTCCCAGCATCTTCCCACACTCCAAGGCAGGTGGGAGCGTGGGGAGACCTGGGGGAGGGGAGGGAGGCAGGGACAGGACACTCACCAACGCTGCTGGCCTCGAACTTCGGCTTCCACAAGCTCCCTCCACAGCTGGTCCTGCTGTACATCCTGGGCTCCGGTACCCTGGCAACCACCAGCAAGACCCCTGCTTGCTGCAGGGCCATCCTGGGTCCTGGAAACTGAGGCAAGAGGCCTGGTAAGAGGCGGTCGGTACCCGGATGATGTGGTTCTTTGGAGTCGAGTGTGTTGGCTGCCCATAGGGGACTGGGGAAAGCGGGAGAGGAGAAAAAGAGAGAAAAGAGACAGAGATTCTTTTCTTAATCTAGAAAAGCCTGCACAAGGTTCCCCCACCGGATCCCGAGCTCAGAGTGACTGCAGGAAACAGAACTCTCCAGGCTGGGACCCAACTGTGTTTTGCAGTCCTGTCTGTGTTGACTGTCGCCCAGGGAACAGGCTCCCGAGTACACAAGGGAGGGGGTGGACCCCCTGAAAGCTCGCGTAGGATATCTGAGCCTCTCTGTAGGATGCAGACTGTAGGTGCTTTGCCCAGCTCCTCCCCTGGGGCGGAGGGCGGGTGCTAGGTTCCCAGGAGGCGGGAGCGTGAGCGGGTGAGCGGAGCACGATCCTGTGCTGCCCCCTGGTGGACACATCAGGCTCCCAGGGGACGCGACCCAGACACAGAAGGAATGCGAGGCCAGGGGCAGAAAGGGAAGACATCTTATCAATTGTCTTAGAATTTCTATTGCTGCGATTTAACACCACATCCAAAGTAACTTGGGGAGGAAAGGGTTTATTTGGCTTATACTTCCACATCGTAGTCTATCAATGAAGGAAGTCTGGATAGAAACTCAAATAGGGCTAAAACCTGCAGATGGGAACTGCTGCGGAAGCCATGGAGGAGGGCTTGCTCAGCCTGCTTTCTTGCAGAAACCAGGACCACCAGCCCAGGGATGGTACCACCTACAGTGGACTGGACCCTCCTCCATCAGTGACTAATTAAGAAAGTGCCCTACAGCTGGATCTCATGGAGGCATTTTCTCAATAGAGGTCCCTCCTTTCAGAGGACTCTAGCTTGGGCCAAGAGGACATAAAACTAGCCAGGACACCAAAGTTTGTTTCTTCAGAAAGCCCAGAGAGCACTGTCATTGATCTTGCCAACCACCCTCGGGCAACACTTGTAGGCACCGAGTCACAGTCCAGACCACACAGAAGTCTTTCCTAAATCCATTCTGCAGGTAAGAATCAAACAGCCGCAAGTTACTGTCAGGTGAAAGAAAGCAGGCTGAGCAAGCCCTCCTCCATGGCTTCCGCAGCAGTTCCCATCTGCAGGTTTTAGCCCTTGAGTTTAGCTCATCATAAAAGGCTCACTGAGGACTTAGGGGAGTCCTGGTGTGAACTCCCCACTTCTGTTTCTTCTCTAACCCAGAGCAGTCCAGCTCTGGACTCACCTCAGTGACACCAGTAGTTTTTTCTTTTCTTTCTTTTTTTTTTTTCAGACTCAGACACCCCCATCCCTTCTGTTCCAGGCACTCCACCCCTCGTCCTCACCATCATGGGGCTTCCTGGAAGGGATTGCTGATAGACTCCCCTCGCCCCTTCCCTGACACTCTGTGCCTGGCTCCTGAAAGGCAAGGTGCTCCATCTCTGCACCTCCAGGAGAGAGCAGAAATAACAGAGGTGCCCAAAATGGAGGGATACCTTCGTACCTGGGGCTCAGTCACTGGGTGGCACCTGGATGAGACTCTGAGACCAGCCAAGTGGCCTGGAAGAACCAGAGGCCACCAGAGCTCCCTGAAAGAGGCTCAGACCAACTGAGCCACCTGGAAAACACTCCTCCACCTGCTGAGCTGCCTGTAGGCTGTGCGCTGTGCTCCAGGTTCTCAGCTTTTGTGAGCTGTCATCTGTACAGGGGTGGGCTTTGGTGACATAACTGTCTTTGAGTCACTATCTCTGTAAGCAACCCCTCACCCATATCCCCTTAAATACCCCCCCCCCCAAACCTCAGTGGTTCACCTAGTTGGCCTTTTATGGTATCCACACTTTGGTCTATTGTAGGCTCCCTCTCTGGGCTGAACAGACATTGTGTGATAGTTCGAATGTAATTGGTCCCCATAAGTTCATAAGGAGCAGCACTATTAGGAGGTGTGGCCTTGTTGAAGTAGGCGTGACTTGTCGGAGGAAATGTGCTGCTGAGGGGGTGGGTTTTGAGGTCTTCTATGCTCAAGCTACACCTCGTGTCACAGTTCACTACCTGTTGCCTTTGGATCAAGATGTAGGACTCTCAGTTCCTCCAGCCCGAGGTCTGTTTGCACACTGCCATGTCCCATCATGATGATAATGGACTAAACCTCTGAAACTATAAGTCACCCAATTAAATGTTTTCCTTTATAAGAGTTGTCATGAGCTGGGTGGTGGTGGCACACGCCTTTAATCCCAGCACTGGGGAGGCAGAGGCAGGTGGATCTCTGGGAGTTTGAGGCCAGCCTGGTCTACAGAGCTAGTTCCGGGACAGGCACCAAAGCTACAGAGAAACCCTGTCTCGAAAAACCAAAAAAAAAAAAAAAAAAGAGTTGTCGTGGTCATGATGTCTCTTCACAGCAAGAGGAACCCTAAGACATGTGTGTTACGTCTCCCCTTCCTTCCTTTCATTCTAACTTTCTGTTTTCTTTCTTTCTTTTCTCCCTCCCTTCTTCCTTCACACCCTCCTTTCTCTCTCTCTCTTTCTTCCTTTCTCTCCTCCTCCCCTTTCTTCTTTTTTTAAACAGGGTTCTCTGTAGCCCTGGCTGTCCTGGAACTCATTCAATAGTCTACACTGACCTCAAACTCTGAGGCAGAGGATTTTCTTTTTCTTTTTGAAGAGAATAGAGGCTGTTGCCCCCAGAAGGTCCTTTCTGTGTGCTAAGGGAAGTCCTTATCAGACTGGCATGGCACTCAGCAGTTAGGGACAGCCATGTGGTTTGCTGGGGTGCTTCAGCCCTGGTCCCTTGGTCACGTTCTCTCGTGACAGGAAGTGCAACAGCACAGGCTAAAGTGGCTAGTCAGACATTTAGACTGGCTCTCACGATGAGTGTGGAGGCTGTATATTTCCATGGAAGTTGGTTGTTTATGTTAGCATTTAAAGCTGAGGAACAGGCTCCTAAGGCAGCTGACTGGTTGGTTCTTCTTTGAGCTGATCACAAACATCTATTTTAAGGGCGAGCAGTGAGGTGTAAAGTGATACATTGCTATTTTATTGTTAAATTTCTTACTTCCAACATGATTTCTTTTTTAATGGAACTGCTCTGTGTTCCTGGCTTTACGATGACTGACTGCGGCCCCAGAGAACCAGAGGACATCATGTCTTCTGGGATCAGTTCTGGACATGGTGAGATCTGCAGAGTCAGGAGGCCGCTTACCCTGAGACACAGCTCGAGCTGCGGATAGTCATCCGATGGGCGTGGTCGTAGGACTTAAGGGCCAGGTGAAGAAGACTCGCTAGGGTCTCCTCTAAGACACACAGACTGAACCCAACTCTGGAAGTTAGCTGTTGTTAAAGTCTGTTGGAAGAGATCCCAGATGCACACTTATTAACTCTGAGCAAAGACGCACAGCTTCCTGGCAGCCTGGGCAGGGGCCAGGCCAGGGCTGACTTGAAGCCTTCTCCATGGATGGGGAACACATGGGAGCTATCTATCATCTGAAATGGTGTTCTTTGTTAGGTTTACATTCATCTATCTATTTGCAGTGTGGGGCACACGCATGCTACAGTAGGTATGAGGAAGTCGGGGTAGGGCTTCAAGCACATCATTTTTTGTGATGAGGTCATTGGAAATTATGGTTTAAAGCTTCAAAATGTACAGTCTTCCTTTTGCTGTTTCTCATGTTACATTCACAGAGCCCCCCCCCCAACAATAATCAATTTTTTTGCCTAATAAGCCTTTGTCCCTTTGATTGGTGTCATCTAGCTCTCCCCATCCTGAACCCCTGGCAACCTCCCCACTGCTCTCTGCGTCTCTGAATTTCATTAGTTTAGATCCAACAAACAGGTGGGAACGAGTGGGTTGGTCTTTCGTGCTTGGCGTAGTCTCTCAATGAACAGAATGGCTTCCAATTCTATCCCCATCATCACAATAATGAGTCATGGAGGTTTTTTGTTTCTTTGAGACAGGTTTCTCTGTTCAACAGTCCTGGCTGTCCTGGAGCTCGCTTTTGTAGGTAGGCTGGTCTTGAACTCACAGCGATCCTCCTGCCTCTGTCTCCCATGCGCTGGGATTAAAGGGCACCATGGGATTTTGAGGAGGCTTGCACTAAGTCTGCTGCAGGGTGAACAGAACTGCGTCCATGTGTGCATGCCTTCCTCGTCGCCCTCTAGAACCTCTCTGGAAATGCCTTCACAGACACTGCCGGAGGTATCTCTCCCAGGTGATCTCAGAGCCTGTCAAGTTGACACTTCAGATATCAGGCACTTAAAAAGGAAAGAACCAAACTGGAGTCATATACTCCTTCTAACCAACTACAAAAGCCACCTTGGGTCATTTATATCATCTGTGCACCTTGGAAGTGAGTACTCTGGACCATAATTGTCTCGGGTAGGGTTCCTATTGCTGTGAAGAGACACCAGGAGCAAGGCTACTCTTATAAAAGAAAGCATTTAATTGGGGCTGACTTACAGTTCAGAGGTTTAGTCCATTATCATCTCAGTGGGAGGCATGGTGGTGTGCAGGCAGACATGCTGGAGAAGGAGCAGAGAGTTCTACATCTACATTTGTAGGCAACAGGAACAGACTTGAGCCACTGGGCCTGGCTTGAGCCTCTGAAGCTTCAAAGTCCACCCCCCCAGTGACACACTCCCTCCTACTCGGTTCACTCCCTATGCGTATGGGGACCATTTTCTCTCAAACCACCATAATGTTTAGGGGAGATATAATAAATATTGATAATAACCCACCTGTGATGGGGCAAGTGTGGGGTAAGGTGAGGACATGCATTAAACTCACCACAGCATTTTCCTTTTTTCAAAAGATGTATTTATTATGTATACAGTGTTCTGCCTGCGTGTGTCCCTGAGCACCAGAAGAGGGTGCCAGATCTCATTACAGATGGTTGTGAGCCACCATGTGGTTGCTGGGAATTGAACTCAGGACCTCTGGAAGAGCAGCCAGTGCTCTTAACCTCGGAGCCATCTCTCCAGCCCCTCCTTTTAGTGTTTTCAAGCATTTATTCTGTATAAAAACTCATTCAGGCTAATCAGTGCTGGTAGATGCCTTTATTCCTAGCACTCGGGAAGCAGAAGCAGGCAGATCTCTGTGAACTCAAAGCCAGCCTGGCCAACAAGAGCTAGTTCCAGGACAGCTAGGGCTGTTACACAGAGAAACCCTGTCTTGAAAAACCCAAACCAAACCAAAACAACCAAACAAATGAAATCCCAAAAACCAAAACCTAAAACCAAACATAACAAAACAAAGCCTCATTCATACGTGTAGCTGTTGA